CAAGACCGAGAGAGGACGAACATTTACATGCAGGAGGCATCGACTGGACCTTATATCACAAAGCAAGAATTATCAAAGCGGCAAATCAGATAAAGAACGGAAAAGCTGTTGGGGAAGATAATATCCCAATTGAAATAATAAAGATATTACTAGACGAACACATCGAAGTAATGGAAGATATATTTAACAAAATATACGAAACAGGCATAATACCAAATGATTGGCTGACATCGGTGTTTATACCACTACCAAAGAAGAAAAAACGCCAAGAAATGTGAAGACCATAGGATTATTAGCCTGATGAATCATATATTGAAACTTTTCCTACGAGTAATACACAATAGAGTATACAATAAACTAGACTAACACACTGGTCAAACTCAGTTTGGTTTTAAGAATGGGTACGGAACAAGAGAAGCACTTTTTTCAATACGTGTGCTAGTTGAAAGATGTAGAGATGTCGATTCTGATGTATACTTGTGTTTTATATACTTTCAGAAGGCGTTTGACCTGGTGAAACATTATAAACTAATAGATATTTTAGGTCATGTAATATCGACGATAAAGACTTAAGGATCATTTCAAACCTTTACCAAGAACAAAAGGCTAAAATCAGAATAACAAGCGAAACATCTGGAAAAATCAATATCGAGAAGGGAGTAAGACAGGGATGTGTCCTATCACCTTTGCTGTTCAATGTTTACTCTGAGAAGATATTTCAGAAAGCTTTGGAAGGCACCTCGGATGGTATAATTATAAACGGGCAATGTATAAATAACCTGCGATATGCTGATGACACTGTCATACTGGCAAATAATGCTGAAGCCCTGCAACGCTTAATGGACCGAGTAACTGACAGCCTGTAGAGAATTTGGAATGAAATTGAATACAAAGAAGACAAAAACGACGATCATCAGCAAGCACCAAATCAGAAGGGTGAAGGTCAATGTCGACGGAACAGATCTGGATAGAGTAACAAGAACAACGTACCTTGGAAGTAATCTTGATGAAACTTGGGACCACTCACTAGAGATAAGAATACGCCTGAAAAAGGCACGTACAATGTTTTACAAAATGCAAAAAGTTCTATCATCCGCCAGCTGGGCATCTCATTGAGAACTAGAATACTTAAGTGCTATGTTTTCTCCACCCTGCTCTATGGTGTTGAAGCCTGGACAATGACAGAAGCAACACAAAAAGAATCCAAGCATTCGAACTCTGGTGTTACGTAAAATGCTCAGAATATCCTACATGAGCCATACGACGAATGCGGAAGTCTTGCGGAGAATGAATAAGGAAAGAGAGCTTATGCTTATAATAAAAGAACGGAAAACACAATATTTTGGTCACATCATAAGAAGTCAAAAGTATGAACTGCTCCAACTTATAATCGAAGGCAAAGTCAATAGCAAAAGAGGACCAGGAAGAAGACGCAACTCTTGCAAAAAAACTTCGCAACTCTTGCAAAAAACTCTTGCAACTCTTTCTAAAAACCTACGGCAATGGACGAACATGACCTCCATAGAACTATTCAGAACTGCTACAAATAAGATTAAATGGGCAAATGTAATGGCCAACGTCCTTAAGGATAAGGCACCGTAGAAGAAGATTGGTTAAGTGCTATCATTTGAGATATCGTACGTCACTATTGGCCTAATAGGACCAAAGGTACATAACTAAGGCCTTTTGACATGCAACTCCATTACCTCATTGTATCTCATTGTATTTTATTTGTTAAATCCTTTCATTTGAGGTACTGCACGTCATGATTGGACTAACAGAACCGAAGATACACAACTAAGGCCCTTTTGACATTGTGCTGTATTTCATTTTTTCTATCCCATTGTATTCCTTACGGTAAATCTTATCATTAGAGGTACTATACGTCACGATTGGACTAATAGGATCAAAAATACGTGACTACGGCCCTTTTGACATGTTGCTGTATTTGATTTTTCTATTTCATTGTTTTCGATTGGTTAAATCCTATCATTTGAGATACTGTACGTCACGATTGGACTTATAGAAACGAAGGTATATAACTAAGGCCTTTTTGACATGCTGATTTTCTGTCTTATTGTATTTTATTGGTTAAATCCTATCATTTGAGGTGCTGTACATCACGACTGGACCAATTGGAGCAAAAATATGCAATATATACCCCGTTATATATACCCAATATATAACCCGTTATTTTTAATCAAACAAGATGCTAGAATGATTTATGGATGAAAAAAATATATATAAATTCTTAAATTTACCATTTCGTTGTGGGTAATATTATATTCAACAGCGATGCCAAATTTCTGATGCCAAAATGATTGATAATGAAAGTGCGATATACATTTTCATGTATATAATGGCAGCGAGTAAACGGTAAAACCCTGAACTAAATATATATAATATTTTCACTGTACCATCATTTTAGACTCAAACATTTCCTGGAATAAACTTATATAACTCAGTAAGGGATAAAAAGAGAAAGCGGACATTTTAAAATACCAACACAGGTATCAAATCTCTAATCATTGAGATGGGTTAAAATTCTTGTAACAAGTACAGAAAAAAAGTTATTAAGGTCTTGTAAAGTAGCGTCGATATACAGATGCTACTTTGCAAGACGATGCTAATATGATGGTAAAAGCATAATGTATCGATGCCAAAATGATTAGTTAGGATAGTATTATATTATAGTCTAATATATATTTATGATATATATATATAATATATATATATATATATATATATATATATATATATATATATATATTTAGTATTAACATTTCCAGCACTATTTACTGGAGATTCTTTAATAATCTAAGATCTTTTTTAGATTATCTTCAATCATCTTAGATTGTTTCAAAACTTATTTTTCAACTTTCCATCTCCACGCTTATCTTACCAATTTTCTCCTCTAATTCAATAATATTGTGGATGCTGACAATTTTCACTTCACCTTAGGTGTTTTCAAGCGCATTGACACGATTGTTTAGGTTTAGAGCATTAATAATCCCAGGTAACAATTCTTACACTTCTTCTTAAAGTGCCCTCTCCTCAATGGAGGTTGGCTACTACAATTTTAAACTCTTCTCTATCTTCAGCTGTTCTTATTAGCTGTTCAAAATTTAGCCCTGTCCATTGTCGGATGTTTCTGAGCCATGATAGTCTTTTCCTTCCTAGGCCTCTCTTTCCCTCGATTGTTTCCTTTCACTATAAGTTGGGCATATTGGTACTTATTATTTCTCAGTATGTGGCCTAGGTATGATGTTTTTCTTACTTTAACTGTGTTAAAAAGTTCTCTTTCCTTGCCTATTCTATGCAGCACTTCTTCGTTTGAGGTATGCGATGTCCATGAATTTTGAGTATTCTCCGGTAGATCCACATTTCAAAGGCCTCCAATTTATTTACTGTTGATGTTTTAAGGGTCCACGTTTCCAGTGCATATAGAAGAGTCGACCAGACGTAGCATTTTGATAAACGTAGTCGAATTTAGAGGTTTTATTCGAGAATCACAAAGCAGTTTTTTTATTTTTTCGAAAAGATTTTCTAGCCTGTTCTATTCTCGATCTTATTTCTTGATCAGGATTTAAGCTGCTATCGATCCAACATCCCAGGTACTTAAATCTATTGACCTGTTCTAAGATGTGCCCATTTATTGTGCAAGGTTGAGGTACGTTTGGATTTTTCGGATTGACATCACTTTGGTTTTTTTAATGGTTATTTTTCATACCAAATTGCTCACAGGTCGAGTTGGTCTTGTCGATGAGTCGTTGTAGACCTGAGTCGGAATCCGCAATTAACACTGTATCATCGGCGTATCTGATACTGTTGATATTTACGCCATTCACCTTGACTCCATCCTTGGAATCCTCCGGCTTTTTGGTTCCAGTACAAGTTTTTTAAGAGTTTGATGTCTTTTCCATCTAAACCGACTTCTTGCAAACGTTCTAATAGTAGGTCGTGTCTTACTCTATCAAATGCTTTTTCGAAGTCTATAAAGTATATAAATATATCTTTCTGTTGGTCGTAGCATTTTTGGGCGAGAACTAGTAAACTGAACAGGGCTTCTCTCGTTCCCATGCCGGCTCTGAATCCAAACTGATCGTCTCCGATGATTGTTTCGCACTTTCTATAGATACGATTATGTACGATTTTTAGTAGGACTTTTACTGCATGACTCATAAGGCTTATCAGACGGAACTCATTGCAGTGTTGTGGGTTTGGCTTTTTTGGTAGTGGGATGAATATTGATTCCAGCCAATCTTGGGGTATTTTACCTGTATCATAAATGCGATTGAATAAAAGGACAAATAATTCGATATTTTCTTCGCTGATTAATTTGAACGTTTCTGGGTATATTCCGTCTGGACCTGGGCTTTTATTGTTTTGAGATGATTAATTGCATTTATGATTTCAGATTTCAGAATTGTTGGCCCTTCGTTGTTATTTTCCAATCTTGGTTCTTCTCGTATGTCGTGAAAAAGAATTTTAATATAATTTTTTACCTTCTAACTCTTTTACCTTTTTATGTAAATTAAAAAAATCGTGCCTTTGTTGCAGTTCTTCTATTTCAACGCATTTTGTTTCCAGCCATTTCTCTTTTGCTTCGGTTATTTGCTAATTCTTACACAAGTAAGACATAATTATGGTAGCTAACAATAAACATCTTAGCTCCGTTGAACTAATTCCAGCACAGCTCCTGCAGATCACTCTCTTGCAAAAATCACTTCACCGGAGTTCTTAGGCTCTTTAAAATGCAGTTTACAGAACACTTGAAACATTTGGCATGTATTTTAAGGTTAGTTTTAGATGCTTTCCAATTTAAGAAGAAATTTTAAAATAATCAGAATTTTTTTTTTAATTTTCAGGGAATTTGCAATAATCAGGACCTAATAACATAGCACAAACAATTTTTAAACACCAATTTACGAAAAATGTTTAAACGATTCTATCCCGAATTGGAGAGCACTTAGTTACTCAATATAAAATAAAATACATACCTGTATCAAACACAGATTATTTGAAGATGGCAGTAAGGATGACAAGATGGTCTTTACCGTTTTTTTATCAACTTCCTTTTTGTTATCTACACTGTCTTCATTTTGGGAACCAACTGTGCTTTCAGAATGGGATCTATTATGAGTTTTCGGCGAAGCTGATGAATATGACTCGCCTAAAACATGTTAATCAATATAAGGATTATCAGTTCTCTTATAAATCATGAAGAACACTAGGAAACAATCTCATAATATACTCCTGAAATTAATTATTTTATCTGTCATCAAGTGCCCTAAGCTATCGACCAATAGCACGCACTTGATGCGCATCGCCCCGCCCACTTCGGCTTGGAAATTGTGTATAAATATTTGCACAATTTTCAAGTCGAAATCAGATCACTTCGATCAGTCTACGGGCCACGACCTTACCTAGAGCATCGTACGCTCTAGGAGGTCGCTAGTCGGGGCTTTGCCTCATCTTTAGACTCTGTAGTCAGTCTTGCTACTTCAAACAGGCGTTTTATTTTATTCCTTTCTTCGGTGCAAATGCACATAAGAAAACCTGCAAAGTATTTCATTTTTTTTTTCATGTAAGAAAATTCGACAAGTCTTTTTCAAGGGTTAGTCTAATTTACATCAACATGCGAGACTGAATTGGATAAGTGCCTAGGTTATTTCGTACACTACACACGAATACCCTAGTGCAAAGCGTATAGCGGAGTAGACAATTTTATAGGTCTAACTCCTGCTAAGACGACATATCTATTAAATAGTCCTCTTAATATTTAGTTTTCGACAAAACAACAAAGTTGATTTCATATAGTTAAAAGAACTATCATCAAATAAAATCTTAACAGTAAAGTTTATATTCATCAGGACATTAATTGAATACAGTCCGTCCCAAACCCTTCTTTCAGTGCGTCATAGTTGTTCGAATTCTCTCTAACGCATTAAGCTAGAAGCACAGTTTAACCACAAACAGTTAGGACACTCTTAGTCGGCGCCTTTGAAGTATAAAAGTATCCAGACGCCATATTGAAAACAGACTAGATCAGTTACGGACTGACACAAGTGGTTAGAACAGAGACGTGTTTATATTATTTCAAAGTTAGTAAAGTTAATTTGAATTAATTACAATCACAATATATTAATTTAATTTAATTATTATTATCAAAAATGTTTTATTTATTTTATATAAAAATAAAACTTTTCTACCATAGCCAAATAAGAAACTGAAAAACTTATATTCCTACTAAAGTAAAAAAACAACTCTTACAATTATTTCGGGAGGCAATTTTGTGTGTAAACTAACTTAAATAGACTTACTGTTAACTTTTACAACAATAATTTAACAATAGTAAACTTACAAAAAATTTTAACAAGTAAAAAATGATATTGGAAAAATTAAGAGGGAGTGAATACGTGTATATATATATATATATATATATATATTATATATATATATATATATATATATATATATATATCATTTATCATCACCCAGCCCTTTGCGTCCACTGCTGGACATAGGCCTCCCTCATTTTTGTCCATTGTGCTCTGTTTTGGGAACTTTTTATCCAATTTCTCCAATCTCTTAATTTCTAAAACAATCTTGACAAAAGTTTAGGGTGACACTACGTTCCTTACAACTTGCTCTCTTACAGTCATCACATGATTTCATGTCTTTATGTTTCGGACAAAAATGACGTCTTGTTTGCTTAGCAGGTTGTCGATTTGAAAGTTCCTCAGTTGGGTTTCTTGAACTCTTGTCTTGATCTGTTCCAAGAATTTTTAGGATTGTGGTTTTTAAATCATTATTAGAGCTGTTTCATATCTTTTCCTCTTTTCAGATGTTCATTCAAAAGACTTTAACCGAGTAATATCGTGAAATGTTTTTGAGACAAAGAACATTGACTATTTGCGCTTTTATAAAGAACATATGCATTTTTTCTTGTTATATGTTAAATTACATAAAGACAACCAGAGGTCATCTTTTTTATTATAAGTTTTTTACCTGCATTTTTAAATTGCGTTTACTACAGTTTCTAGTAGAATGGTTGTGAATTTAAGATTTTTTTTTAGTAGCAATGGTACTTGTTTCTTTTTAAAGTATTTCATACAGTTCTAGCAGTAATACCAGTTTCTTTTGAAATTAGAACGTGCTGTTACAAGGAAAATTGATTTCAGTTAGACTACTTACGGCATTTTTACGTTGTTCCTGTTCTTCATTAATTGCACGAGCTGGTTAATTTTCAAATTTAAAAATAATGTTGTGAATTGCAGATTTTGATGGTACAGGGCTTTCGAATGAAAACGAAAACGTAGCGATTACATCGTTGGCCCTACTTCCAGAATAATATCATTTAATAGTTTGAATTTTATGTTCAGTTGTAAAGGTTACCATTTTCCTAACTGGAAATATCAATTCCTTTATTTTTTTGCGAATAAAACCAGAATTATTATTTATTTATTTATTAACGGGATGTTTCCATTTTTTACAAAACAATTAACAACATAAAATATCCTAACCATAACATAAACACTAAAACTAAATATTAAATAATTATTACCTAAATGTTATTAAACAATTATTAAATTACATAAATTAAATTTTTATGAAAATCATTTAAAATGAAATTACTATTTTTACTAGAACTATTTTTAGACTTTATTAAACGAAAAATAAAACTCGACGATAAAGATATAAACAAAGAAATCACGACAGATGACTTGACTACACGTCACATTAATATAAGTAGGGTGTCACTAGCGTTCGGTCTGTTTTCAATATGGCGATATGGCCTGCGCCAATGACGTATAATATATAGACTACGCAGTCCCCTATTCTCGCTATAGAATCAAGTGTCCGAAAGATCTCGGCTCAAGGTTGAAGGTATGTTTATTAGAACAGCGGCGTGTTCATTTATATTTTAATGACAATAATTATTTTTTTAATTAAAATTAAATATTTATGATTTCTTTTTGTCCCATCTATAAGAGAAATAATTATTTTGATAAAATAGTATGGCATTTTACTAAAATAGTAAGTAAATAACTCTCAACAATTTAAAATAAAATTTGCTTGTCACACAAAATGGAGGAAAATGCTTTCATACGTCCATGATGTTTTCAAACACAAGATCAACTTCGTGATGCTTCGTAAGAAATCATGAACTTCGTGTATCTTCGTATCAAAACAATAAACAATAACAAAGGTATTCATGTTTTGGACACTTTTTAAAGCGTTCACCGAGTCTATATATTATACGTCATTGGCCTGCGCTAAATGATGCGCGTACTTTTTCCCGCCTGTCGAGTGTCCATACTATTCTTTTTTTATACTATGCTAGAAGTGACAGAAAAAAACGTGAGTCGCTGATTATTATACATAGAACTTAGACAATTAGGTATCGTTCACGGGTATTCGCATATTAAAGCGAATTCTACTTACGAACGTATAATTGGTTGGAGCTTAGAATACGCTAAATAGATATCCAATCAATTATGCATATAAATATAATTTGACACAGATGATCTTGATAATGACAGTGACAGTACTTTCACAATGTCAACTGATAAAATGATAATTGCCATTCCAGGTTAGTATTTGCAGACATTTTAACTACAGTGAAAATTAAATTTTGTATTTATTGTCATAAAAATATTTTAAATATTCCGAGATATACCGAGAATGAAAAAAGACTAATATTAAAATTATTAAATTAGTTTCAATTAGAAAAAGAGGCTGAGACATATTTATTATCAGTGTCTGTCGTTCGCGAATCAGATTGCGAATTCCGGAATGAGATTGAGGAAATATCTTAAACTAATGCCTTTATGGATATTTATATGTATTAAAACGGTTCTTTTTAGAACCACGACATTTTCTTGAAATGTAGGATATAATTGATACCAGCCACATATCTAGTGTAATCATTGATTTTCAAGAATCAGATTCTGAATGGGATTATAGATTGTTTGAAATATAATATTCATTTTTGTTATTCATAAAAAAGAAGGTAAACTTACATTCGGTATCTTGTTTTTTAACTAAACTCCATTAGCACGATTTCATCTGGATATCGGAAACTGGTAGATTAACTCAAAAATCAACTGCTTCACTATTTTAAACTATTTATATTTATATATGTTTTTTTTAACTAAACTTTATAACCTTCTTTCATTTGCACACCAAATCTGGTAGAATAACTTTAAAATCAACTGCATCACTATTTAAACTATTTCCACTATTTAATGACAAATCTTCACAAAATTAAACTATTGGCTGCCACACAAACTTATCAGAAAATTACTTATCCAAATATGACTGATTTAAATCGATATTATTTTATCACAGGAATGTTAACTTTGATGCCTTGCAATTGTCAGTAAGTTTTTTTACCTTGCAGTCAACTCTTAAAAGATTCTAGGAGGAAGCGTTATTTTAAATAAACAAACCTTCCAATTCCCTAGCGTTTGTAATAAATAATAATAAATCCATAAGCAAATCTTAGCTAATTAAGCACTTTCCATGGAATGTATAAAATAAAACAGAATAGAATAGAATTATGAAAAACTGCTATGCATTAAAAAAAATAACCTTTTCACGTTTAGCCATAGACCAAAACCAAATAGATGTCGAACTCAATAATGACATTTAGAAGCTAAAAGGCGACATCTACAAATTCGAAGAAACTAAATACAACGTTGCCGCTCTATTGCCTCTTATAGTTTTCTTATTCAGTTATAAATACAGAGTGCACATAAATGTGCACTCAGTGTGAAATATGTTTCGAATGTTTTTAGAAAAAAAAAAGGATAAATAAAACTGATAAGTAACAAAAAAATTTTTATTTATTAATTTATTTAATTTTATAGTGTAAATTGAACATGGATATTTGCACCATACCACACATAAGTTTTGTAAAAATTATTATTATTATCTATATTGAATATATCTATCTGAAGTGAATAACAAAACAAACATATTAATCAAAAAAAATTAACTTGTTAAAAAAATCTACAATTACAATAGATCATTCTTACCTTAACAAATACAGATTAAAACTTAACACTATAATGGAACAAATACAGATTAAAACACTTAACACTATAAAACTTAAACACTATAATAGACTAATAAATTAAGAACTATAAATGCCACACCGAGTTAAATAGAAATACATAAAAGATCCTCAAAAGATAAACACCACCACGCTGTAAATAGTAAATAATCACACAAGAATCTTGACAAGTTGACAAATGTTGACGTTGACGTGAAGTTGCCATGTCTCTTTAAAATATGTAGGTACTGTAGCGCCATCTGTGTATTCGAAGAAACTAAAATAAATTTCAAGGTCGCCAATATGAGATAAATATCTATATGGTTTTTGTCTATGCGTTTAGCCGATTACGATCCTACAACTGTCAGATTTAACTAAAATGTCATGCAATAATTCTCGACATTCTTAAAATCCTATATGACGTTAAAATTAGTGACGCACTGAAAAAAGGGTTTGGGACAGACTGTAGTTTGTATTTATCGAATTATTCCATGAAATAATTTAACCTATAAAAAACTTACCATCACTATTATCCAAACTTGACACCTTTTTAGAGATCAAACTCGTGATTTCCTTTTCTTCTTGAATATTTAGCTCTGGATGTTCGGAGTTATCTTCAGTGTTTGTATCTACTAATTTATCTTTCTTTTTATCATTATCCTTCTTACGCAATATGATTTCATTCAGTCTGGCATTCCAATTGTCTACTATATCCACAACATTCTTTTTTAATTTTGTTAAACAATCTGATATGTTCCAATAGGTAACAAAAAGTTCTAAAATACAAAGACGATATTTTTTGAGTAATTACTGAAGTAAATTTAAAAGTCATTAAGTATGAAACTAAGTGAAAGTGATTTGTATACTGAATATTGGAATCGTGAATAGATAAAATATACTTTTTTCATCTATTTGGACCTTGATATTTAAGTAAATCACTGCAATTAGTTATAAGTATTATCCAATTTCCGTGAACTGGTATCACAGCAAAAGCTGTAAAACAGCACCGGTTTTAGTCGGATTTTTAAATCCATTTAAAAGATGTCATCTTCCAGTCAGCTACCACAAAATGAATGTCAGAAACCGTTTCAGATTTATCATACAAACATTCATTGCTGTGACAATGCAAAATTGGATACACAGAGCAAATTTTCGAAGATTTGACCTCAGATTGATGTGAATTAATAAAAAAATTTCGATATGGAGACCTCTCATAAAGAAAATATCGACCGCTCCACTCGCCAATCAAAATCATATCGTCAGAAATGTTCACGCCAATCCCCACGTCAACCCCCCAGTGTAGTATGTCTGATCAGTGGAATAGTGTCTGCAGGATCGGGAGACTGACACTTCGGAAACTCTGAAGAAGACAGCAGAGAGGATGTTGAAAGCTCGGCGAAGTGATAATCAACCGCGGTTCAACCCGGAAGACTATTGAGTTCAATATTAATTCTTGTAACAGTTAGTTCTTAGCGTTATTATATATAATATATATATATATATATATATATATATATATATTATATATATATAATATATTATAATATATATATATATTGTTATGATATGTAAAATCGAGAAAAATATTGGTGTGTTTAAAATACTTCAAAGTTCAAAAACATTAAAATAATTCAGATAAGTAGGATAATAACCAACAAACATTTCGAAGAAGGAAAGTCTTTAAATCTTTGGATTACCTGTATTAAACAAAATGTAAGCTATGCATAAATTATTTTCTTTGTTATAATATACTTGAGTGACCCGCATAATTTTAAGTAAAATCCAAAGACAATTGAACCGGGTTTTCCAAATACATTAATGCAGTGATTAAGGACAATTGAATAGATTTTAGAAAGAGGTTTTTGTTAGTTTTTAAGAATTGTAGAAAAATATTATTTGTAAATAAGTTTTAGGAAATTTTATAATTATAGGTAAAAATTTGTTTGTTATCGAAATGAAAAAATGGAAGAATTGTGACGAGCTTTGATTGGCGGAGATTGAAAAAGGTGGGATAGGTATGTAGGAATGAAAGTTTAGCTAGATTTTTGAGAGAGAAAAGATAATCAGTTGGTTTCCAAGCGTGCAAGGCGAACGGCCGTTGTTTCTCGGGTAGTTTCCAGAGGTAGGAAGCAGTAGCAGTGAAAGTTTGTGAGTTTTCGTGTAGTTAGTGTATCTGACAGACGCTGATCCAGTAAAATATTGTAAGTCATATTTTTCTACTTATATTCCAAGAGTCACTGTTCAGGCCAACGAGAGATTCAGTTTATTGAGAGAAGAAGAAGCTAGCATAATTTGAACGATTCGTGCATTTGAAGGAGATCATTAAGGACGATAAACTTGCAATAATTTGTTGTGATATTGCTGATCACCTAGGGAGCGGCTGAGAGTTCAGAGAGATTGCTCATCAGAGAGAGATATTTTTGTTTTCTGCAGTTTTTCTTTTATTGATAACACAATTTTTACACTTAATTTAGAAAGGATATAAATATTTTGATTAGGAGAGTTAGAATAGTTTGGGATTTTGAGATTTCAATTAATATTGTTTGTACCATTAATTTTGATTGTTCACGTACGTAGAACAAAATTTTGAGAATCATTATATGAGATTTTGTTTATTGAAAACATTTGAGTGTGAATTATTTCATTATTTTTATTTCAATATATAGTGTTATATCATATGTGTTTTTTATTATTCCGGTATTCTTTGGACCTTACCTTTCACATGTAATAGCATAGATATTGAAGCACGAATTTAACCCTGAGATAAGAGAATTAAAATGTGTGATAGAGTCATAATCATATCATTTAAATAATTTTAATTAATCAATTAATTAATTAGCTAATTAATTGCTCGGCGCACCAAGACTATATATATATATATATATATATATATATATATATATTATATATATATATATATATATATATATAATGTGTGCGCGTATATGTCCGTGGACAAATAAAAAATCAAAGCGAATTTTAAGAAGTAGGAGAAGAAAGCAAACGATAAAGAAAAACTATTAAAATTTTCAATACTTTCCAAGTAAGTGTTAAATTACCTTTTTTATCAAATTGTTTATTTTCTATGGTTGGCGAGGTCAATTTAAGCTGTATCTCTTCGACTTTTTGTTTGAACTGATTGTGATCTTTCATTAAAAGTTGCTTAAAATTTCCATTTGGGTCTGCTTCGTCGCTGACCAAATTTTTTAATTTATCTTGAATCAAAGAAAAAATATCATGCCCTTTTTGTGCAATGTTTTTAATTTCATCTATGAGTTCACTCTGAAATTTATTGTTTTCGCATTCTACTTCTATTATTGGAGGAGGTAGAGAAATTTCTAGAATTGTAATTTGGCAGTACCTAAAAAATATTTTAAATTATAAATAACATAACAAGAAATTTATTACGAAAATAATTAAGTCAAAAAAGAAAAGCTACAAAAACACCACAAGTCTTATAATATTTATCAATATCAATGATTTCCATCATATGGCTGTATAGCCAATTCGATTCACTGCGGTCTGTAGTCATTCTTCTGCATGATCGACTACCAAGGAGATTTCTGGCGTCCTCATCCACATCAATGCTTTATCTGCGGTATTTCATTGTGGGTTTATTGATGTTTACGAGTCTCCTTTTGTTCTAGAAGAGCCAATTAAAAATCATAACAACAAATTTAGTGCATCAAAAACTCGCTAAACAAAAGAGTAGTCAATTTCGAACCCATATCCGTTCAATTGAAGTCACAAAAAAACACAGTTGACAGCAAGACAAAGTAAATATTCGCTATGCGGACGATGCCAGACGCATCTTGTGCTCAGTCTGCAAAATTGAATTGCAGGACAGTGTATTCTTCTTTTGGTACCTATCCTCTGTGGATGTTGGCAATCACGTTGGTCCATACAACTTTGTTGACAGCTGCTCTAAATAGATGTATGGTAGTCATTCCTGCCCACTGTCTGATTTTCTTCAACCATGATGTTCTTCTGCGCCCTTGAGATCTTTGCCTTCTATCTTGCCTTGTAAAATTAGTTGAATTAGTTGATACTTCTCATTGCGCATCACATGCCCTAAGTATGTCATTTTTCTGGTTTCACGATACGCATAATATACAGATCTTTATTCATAAGTTGGATCAGGAAATTCTGAGCATGCGGCGGTAGCACCACATTTCGAAGGCTTCTAATCGTTTGGATGTTGCCTACGTCAAGGTCCAGGCTTCGACTCCATATAAAAGGGTAGAAAATACATAGCATATTTTATATTATATAGACTATTTTCAAGGATTCATTATTTGCTGTGAATTGATGCTGTATTACGTCGTTTTTACTAACTACAAGAATTTTGGTCTTCTTACAGTTTAATTTCATGCCGTATCTGTCGCTGGCTTCCACTACACGGTTTATTAATGTTTGCAGATCCTGCGCATTATCAGCAATCAAAACCGTATCGTCCGCATATCTTAAATTGTTTATGATTTCACCATTGATTTTTATACCTTCTCTTAAACCATCAATAGCTTCCTGAACAGCATTTCCGAGTAAGTATTGAACAACGTCGGTGACAAAATGCAGCAATGACCTGACCTACTCCCCGTTTTATCGTGAATTCTTGTGAGGTTTCGTTGACTACTCGTACAGTTGCTCTTTGCTGTAAGTATGAATTTTTATTTAGGCGTAAATCTTTAATACTAGATTCTTTCAGTATCTGAAATAATTTTTGATGTTGCACCTTGTCAAATGCTTTTTCAAAGTCTATAAAGCATGCGTAGACTTCGAAATTTACGTCTCGAGCTCTTTGTATCAATACTTGTATGTATGGAAAATAGGGCCTCTCGCGTTCCCAGTCCGCTTCTAAACCCAAACTGAACACTGCTAATATTTTCTTCAAGTTTTCTATATATGCGAGAGTGAATAACAGAAAGAAGGATTTTGAGTGCATGGCTCATTAAGCTTATAATTCTGTAATCAGAGCATCTGGTGGCATTTGCCTTTTTGGGGAGAGGGATAAAGGTGGAAACTAGCCAATCTGTAGGAAATTATGGAGTTTCATAGATTTTGTTCAGTAGACTCGTTAGGAGTTTGAGTTGGTTGTTTTCAAATAGTTTCAATATTTCAGCTTGTATGTTATCAGGTCCAGGTGCTTTGTTGGTTTTTAGTCTTTTTATTGCATATGTTACTTCACTGAGCGTTATTTCTGGTCCTGAACATCCAGAAACACTGACTTCTGTCTCTTGCTCTTCCTTGAATAATTCTTCCATGTATTGCCTCCATCTCTCAAGTACTCTCTCATTTTCAGAGAGCAGATTGTTGTGCTCGTCTAGTATTAAGTTATGACTTCGTGATCCGTTTAATCCTCCCGTTAAGTTTTTGATCTTTTTATGTAGGTTAAAAGTGTCATGCTTCTATTCTAGGGATTCTATTTCTATGAATTGATATTGTCTATAGAGAATTCAAATAGAAACATTATGTCTTGTTATATCTCTTCTTCCATCTCTTTTTCTTAGCATTATTCTGGTTCTGGTGTGTTTCTTAAGATCATTAGCCAATCTCATGTAAGATCTTCTCTTGAACGATTTGGCATGTCAATTTCCATTTAAGACTTACCACTTGCTCTCTAACGTTTCTTACTTTTGTCGCTTCTAGAATTCAGTTACCTTTGTATGGTGTGCTATACGTGTGAGATCTGTGATTACAAATAACTATATGCAAAAACCAATGCTTTTGCACTTTCTGTGGAGCCTGTGGAACTTCTATTCACGCTAAAGATATGCCTCTAAAGTGGCTGAACTAATTAATAATTGCCTGGATGTTGTTGATCTTATAGTATAATGTGGCCACATAGACGACCTGACAACTTATGGGGCCGTATTAAAGATAAAGCACGACTTTGTACACTGCCATAAAAATCGGGTCAGTAATTGAATAATGGGAACGTATCCCCAGAATACTATTGAAAAGTTACTAGTCAATGTATTTCAATGGAGTAATCAGAAGTAAGGAAAGGCATAGGGAATATAGCTTTAGACTATCGCTTTAAATTTGAGATTAAGAAAGTTGTGTCAGGAATTTCTATAATTACTTACTTGAATGTAGCTACATAATTCTTATATCCAAAATAATGATAATGGTCTTGATGTAGGCTGTGGTCACAAGCTGACTGGCCTCTTCTACTATAAACATCCCCATAAAATTTCAACTCCAAGAACTTGGCAAATGAGTACGACCAAGTATCAGCCGACATCGGAACCACTGGGGATACTTTTTGACATTTGGTACACCACGTCCACATAACTATGTGGTCCTCTGAAAATTCGTTTTCAAAATAGTTAAGACATATTGTTACACAGCCTGTATTATGAACGAATCTTCTTATATGATTTATCATAGGGGTATCACAAGATTTTGAAGGGCAGTTATAGGTAGATCGGAAGCAGTATCTTTCTAGGAAACAACCCAGTGGAATATCGTTGCGTCCATAAAAATCCATATAAACAATCCTAAAAATATAAAATAGTAAACTATTTAATTACTTTACTTTACTAGTGTGTTGTCCACTACTACATATTCCCTGGAATATTTGGAAGAAGTTTAGTTTTAAACCAATTTTCGGGAAGAGGTCCATCCGTTTCGCCCTGATAATCTACTATAGAGAGAGATAGCTTAGGGCTGAATATAGACACAAATAAAACAAAAGTAATGGCCGTTACACGTGCACCAAATGCCGACATTAATATTCGTATCTACAACAAACAGATAGAACCCGTACAAAAATTCCAGTATCTTGGTTGCTGGATAACAAACAATCTTGACTACAAAGTTGAAATACGTGCTCATATAGAGTATGTTAGGTCCGCTTTTCAAAGAATGAAAAAAATCCTAATCAACTCTACCTTATCGTTGGATATCCGATACCAATTTGTAAAAACATTCATTTATTCCATATTGCTATATGGAGTGGAAACATGAACTCTCGGAATCACAAGTATGAGACGTGTAGAAGCCTTTGAGATGTGGGTTTTTCGACGGATGCTGAAGATCTCTTGGACAGAGCACGTGACCAACAACGAAGTGCTGAGAAGAATGGGGACTGAGAGAGAACTCCTAAATATTGTAAAAACCAGAAAGATGGATTATCTAGGACATATTTACAGAGGAGAAACATACAACTTCCTACGACTGAGAATGGAAGGAAAAGTGGAAGGAAGAAGAGGTCCAGGAAGAAGAAAATACTCCTGGCTGAAAAATGTAAGAGACTGGACAGGCATGAACACACATCCGATACTAAGAACAGCTCAAGATAGATTGCAATTTGCTGTAGTTATAGCCAACCTTCAGTAATGGAGAGGGCACCTTAAGAAGAAGAATCTAAATTATAGTCAATTCTTAAAGTAAATTCAGTAAAACGAAACGTGGACCTCAGGAAACAGGGGCTTTATACTGTAGTGAATCCCCGAAAAAAATGTGTCCCTATGTAACAATATACATTCATAATTGACACTGTGACCAATAATTATCCATAAGCGATTAAAAGTAGGATCAGTTATCATTAATTTGCATAACATTAATCAACCTCAACTGTGTAATAGAACGAGACTGACTGTGAAAAAGCTAATGAGTAATGTCATTGACGCAACGACAATCAAAGAAATTACAAAGGATAGGATGTTTTGATCCAGCGTAAACTGATGATTCCAACTGACTTACCATTTGGGTTTAAGCATCTACAATTTCCCATGCAAGGTCAACCATTGTAAGTTTGCCGAATAAACTTGGAGTTTTCATGTGTCGCGCATCGGAAAACAGTTATCGTTTTATCTTAGGGAGAGCGCCCACCAAACTGGTATGTCAAGTAGCAAGTAGCGCGCGTCTAGCATGTTACTTAAAATGTAACCAATGCAAACGAATGATTCAGCGCACACAAAAATGACAGTGACAGTGGCGTCATGCAGCTTGCTATGCCACGTCGTTAAAAATAGAGCTTGTTCTTCTTTTTGCCACGTGCTACCTACATTTTGCATGTATGTTTGTTAAAAAATTTAAATATGGAAGACAGTTCAGAATTTAATATTCAAAAATATTACGTGTGTTTTTACGTGTTTATGTGTGTGTCCACACACAAAAACAATCTACCATCTTTAATTTTCACACATAACCAGTAATTCAGTTCATGTACTTATAACTTGAAAAATCTTTTATTTTTACCAGGTGCCAAATGTTGTTTTTTTGACATAGGGGGCCCTCCTTGCTTAAGTTTTAAGTTAAGTACTACATGAACATCACACCACAATCACATTCTTGTCATATTTAAATTTCAGCTCAACAACAGATCTAAACACACTTTTTACTACAACATTCCTCATTAATAAATCAGTTCACCCACATTAATTTTTAAAAAACCAATTTTTTCAATGTTTTCAATATAGCTATATGATTAATTCACATTACAGACTACAACATTGATGGTTGATACTGTTACATTATTATAATTTTAATTTTTTCAATTTTAAATAATCATCAAATAAACATCTGTCATTTTTAGACAACTATCGTAAGTTACACTGACTGCTGTGACACAACATCCGTTCTAACATGTCAACAATGTCATTTTGATCAGTTGTTATCAACAAGTCCTCTAAGACACTTCGTCTCAGGACCATTTTACCTATGTAGGGTCATATGTCGCCATGTTACCAATTCCAACGGTAACTTAAACATCATAATTTGTAACCACATATAATGTAAAACAACTGTAAATTTATATCACTTAAAGGGTTTTGACCCATATATTTTGGTAGCTCATAGCATGTATACCTCGTAAGTATTAACCACAATGTTCTTTAACCTTAGTCAACATTTTAAATTCAACGTTCTTTTTAATTAAAGTGGTTATTTACTTTCAGGTTTACACTGATGATGGATTTAACAATCCGAAAACGTTTTGTAATATATTTGTGATAGCCCGTTTGGACATTTTATTATATACCTTTTATAAAGGATTTGAAATAAGTTTTTTGTGATATATGGTATACAGCCAGCTACAGGAACTTAGTTTCCTAGTGGATTTTTAATTTAATATTCGTTTTGTCGCATTGATTGAGAAATTTGCAGGTATCCATGACAACACAAGTCCGGAATTTTTTAATTCTTTAAATACATTAAATCTACTATGCTCTTGCATCTCTTTCTCATAAGGGTGTACCCAAAACTGACGTTGCAGACGAGTTTTGTTCATCTTGTTAACGTTTAAAAGCGTTAGCATAATTCTATCCTCTGAGGACGATATTTTGAATTTAACTAGCCTTTTTAATGCCATACTACTTTAGTGCGCGCTACCTGCCACGCCATTGCCATGCCCGTGCTATGTCACTGCCGTGTTACATGTCAAGCCAGTTTGGTGGGCGCTCTCGTTTACGTACATAAAAAAAGACCAAAAATATTGTTTATCAGAAAGAATAAAATTGAATAAACTTTTTTCTTACAGAATATTTTTGAGAATTTTTTTGTGGTGTGTTAATTTTTAGTTATTGAATATTTAATTCTAAGACAATACGAAGTTCGCCGGGTCAGCTAGTACTATGTATAAATAAATGATGTTCGTAACAAAGTACAAACCAATACCTACCATGGATTAACGCAAAATGCAGGAGCATTGTCGGATTCCGTACTATAACTGCAAAATAGTACTGCTAATCTTTGATGATGAATAAGATCAAGAACATCTTTTGCACTGTTTTCGGCATTATTATTAGGCTTGATATTCTTTTGAGTTTCTTGCTGAGCTTTAACGCAAATGTGTTCTTTCTTTTCGTATTTACCACCACAAGCTCTAAAATGTGCTAAGAGATTCTGAATGTTTTTATCTTCCACGGGTTTTGTTAATTTTGACAATAAAAATGGATGAAGAGGTTTTGCCTTAAACAAAATAGATATATAACAGTTAAATATTTGTTTTAATAGCTTTGGGTAGTTTGATGCATCAGAGTGATGTGATTACTACCGACTAATCAGTCTGATAAGTATGATATCAAAAGTATTCCACAACTGTATATACTACACAAAATGTGAGTCAAATGTAGCAGAGACTCAGTTTGGCTTTAAAGAAGATTTTGAGATCCGATAGGCTATTTTTCCCTTCAAGCACTCATACAAAGATGCAGAGTCATAGATTTCTCGAAGGCGTTTGATAATGTAAAGCAAGAAAAACTAGTAAAACTTCTTACCGATACAGGTATAGATTTGAAACAGATCAGAATCATAACAAGCCTATGTTGGAACCAATCGGCAAAACGAAGAATCAATAAAGACTTGTCAAAAAACTTGAAAAAGGCACGAGAAAAGAAGAAGAATGTGACTTTAAGGCGTAACAGATGTAGTCCAGAAAAAGTTGTTAATTCGTTCATAACAAATATTGACGTTCAATAATTATTATTCGAGAAAATCACACAAATATCTTATAGAATTGAAGTGACGAGAGATATAACCTATTGGTTAACCAATCACAAAAGTCAAAAAATGTACGACTTATTTTAAATTGAAAAATATACATACCTTCAAATTAGAATCAACATGATCCAGTCCATGATCATCCATACTTTTCCGCTTACTTTTTGTACTATTTTCAAAGTGGACACTAAAGTATAAATCTTCCGGAAAATACTGCCTTAATTTACACTTTTTACCAATTTCAGTTTCCAAGTATGGTACGGGAAACACAATATACGGACTTATACATAAAATAGTATCATCCAGTTGTTTTCTAAAATAATTGGAAAACGGAAGTTTTGCAACTGCCAGGGTTTGACCAGATGGCTGAGCATCAAATTCGGCGTTGGAATGTAGGGGATCAGTAAAATCGTCAACTAAAGTTTTTCTATTCTCCGTCAGTTGTTCGTCCTTAATAAAACTTTTGATAACAGGCCTTTCGTTCCTTTTGGACACATCTTGATCGACATCGTTTTCCGTCAAGCAAAATGTATGTCTTTTTTCTGGTATATCTGGAGAGTTTTCTTTACTATCTTCCAGAAATTCATTTGCATTTGGAGGCATCGCGAATTCGTCCATTAAAAAGGACTTCTCTAATCTCCAGCTGTACATAGCAAACAACATTAAAACGGATACTTCTTTCAGTTTCATTAATTCGGGCTCAGATGCACCTCTAAGCAAAACTGTACTGCCTAAATGAGTCGATGGTAATCCCTCGAAAAACATAAGCGTTTTTGTTCTACCTTAAAATAATAAAAACTTCATCAAAATATGACCTAATATCAAATCAAGCAACACACAAGAAAGCTATACACTTTTTCTATTTGAAACTAATTGGTATTTTAAAGAATTTCAAAAGTCAGTACAATCAGTAAGATAAAGACTGAAGAAATAAAGCTTTACCATAATTACCAAAAATTATAAAAGAAATACATGAAGAAGACTATAAACAACAAAAATCAGAAGAACAACATGAGTTCAGAGCAGTTAGATCGAGTGTGGATCATTAAAAAAGAATAATTTAAAATAAAATAAATACAGGAAGAAGCCTTCACCTAACATGTTTGGATTTATAAAAAGCACATGTCTGTATAACGGTGATAAAACTATGAGAAGTAATGGGAAGAACAAATATAAATATTATGTATATTGCAGTTATTAAAAAATAGGAACGATAGAATTGTACAATTCTACGTAGAGAACAACCTGTTAATAGCCAACACCTTCTTCAAACAACATCCTAGAAGGCTATACATTCTGTATACAAAATTCAATATTTTTGTTCTTCTTAAAGCAAGAATTCTTAGTAGCAATTCTTCTTCAAAAGACAAAGAACACGAACATGACAAAGACAAGAAGTAAGTTAAACAATATTCCAACTAAGATTATGCACATTTAAGAGTCATTACAAAAAGATCATTATATTACTATAACAGTAATTATTGAGTATATTAAATTATCAAAAAGAATACCAAAGACCCCTACACCCCTTATAGTAACTTTTCCGTAACATTATTTGAATTTTTTGGCACCTTGGCACTTACAGTAATATATACTGAATATGTTTTGGGACGTCATTGGTCAGATAAAATGGTAATATATATATATATATATATATATATATATAAATAATATAAAATTAATGTTCCTTGGGTTTAGGTTCAATAAAGATATGTTACATGTGGAACTAGATTTTATTTTCCATTGCAATCAATCAACATTTAAATTTTTTTGTTTTTTTTTGTTCAAGAAACTCAAAACTACTATATATATATATATATATATATATATATTATATATATATATATATATATATATCTATATATATTATTTGACAAAAATTCTAATATATAGGTAATACCTCTGTCCAGTTTGAAACTTTTCAAATAAAATCTTTGGCATGTTCCCAATTTTGGACGGCCGATGTGAGCATCCATAGCTGAAACGATATCCGCTTGTGTACATCTCGACAATCGTTCCAAAACACTTAGCTTTACGTTATGCACTAAAGTGACAGACTGTTCATGTAACATGTCTTGAGCAAGCCTTGATATGTTTTTGTGGACTAGTATAATGTCTGGTTTGAGAGCTATTATTCGTGCTGTGACATTGCGTAAGTACTCGTATTCCTATAAAATAATATTAGTTTTAGAAAATATTAACAAAAATGTAAATTATATAACCATTTTAAATAAATAAAAGATACGGTTTTCCAAATATATTTTTGGGAATTACCAGAAATTTTAAAATACATTTTTTATTTAGATTTATAGAAATTGCACTCACATCCACTGTTGTATCTACTTGTGTTCTCACAATAGAGAGGTATAAAAGGAGAAGATTGTTGCTTGAAGTGGTACATATTAGTAAAAATAATAATCACAATAATAAATGAAAAATTCAAAACTCAAAGTTACAATAATTATAATTTATCTATGTCATACACAACATGTCACATGTCTACAAAAAGACACTAAATATGATTTAGGACCCATGCAAAACATCATACCGAGCGATAAGAAGTATTCACTTTAAATTATATAAGATGTTTCATTAACCCTTTCACTGCGGGAACCTTAAAAATTGATGTGCGTTAAATCCACGAATGCGAGTATACTCGTTATGAGCAGTCGACTAGTTGACATTCCGGCGATTATACTCGTCGGGAGCAGCGCACCGTACAGGACCAATACACCAACAGAACAGTTTTATTTTCAATTTCTAAATCAATTTCAAATTTTTTCGGATATCTGATTATGAAATATGAGTTAACAAAGTGACAGACAGTTTCTATCGATAGTACAGAACAAAATTCGAAAAGAAATAAGAAACCACTTATCATTCCTACAGAGCTATAAAGATGATGTCAATTTTTGTAAAGCATTTGAATCAAAAGTATTTTTTTGTGTGGTAAATACCAAAACAAGGCACAACACAAAGTGCTACATGACAGACGGAGCACATATATCCTGATTCTGCGCGTTTTTTTATTTTTTTCACATACGACGCCCCTCTTAGTCGGATTTTTTTATAGGTTGTCGGTGGAACTACATCAGGAAAATGTCTTTCTGTGAGCCTCAAATCACATTCAGCTCCACATCTACTGCTTCCTACCATGCGGAAAGATGGAACATGATATTTAGCTATAATTTCTTCTACTAATCTGAGTTGGAATTTTGCTACTGGAATATTTTCGGCAGTTTTAGCTTTATAAAGCTGATAATAGTTTAATACAGCCAGATCCAGCAAATGGAAAAACACCTTGTACCATTTAATAGTTTGTCTAACATTTTCTATCGATGAAAGTAGCATGTCGCATTTGTCGACTGATCCCATATTATTATTATATTCAATGATACAATGTGGTTTTTTGATAATGTCTCCTGTAAGATAATCTACATATTCCGTATTTTTTAGTTGCGTAGTGTAACAGCTAGTGAGCATGCAAACTTCACGTTTATCTTGCCATTTCAACATGAGAAGTTTATCTGTAGATCTGGGCACAACTTCATCACGTTTAAGTTTTCTGTCAATTTTTGGCATAAATTTCCTGTTTGACTTTACTGTTCCACAGGTATTCGTTTTTAGATCGTGAAAGTGTGAGAATAACATAGGACTTGAGTAGCAGTTATCTACAAATAGGCTATGCCCCCTTTTCAAGTAAGTCTTCAAAAGTGACATAACAATGTCACCAGATTTTCCCAGTTTTTTAATTTCATATTCTTCAATATCAGATGTGGCTCCCGTGTATATGATGAAGTCGAGAACATAGCTGGTTTCACAATACTGTTTGAGAAAAGTCTGCCTTTATATAATAACAAACTTTCATCTATGCAAAGATTTTGAAACAGACTGAAATTTTCTCTAAATTTGAATTTCAAATGATAGACTATAATCCTTATTTTACGTAAACTATCTCTTTTGACAGGCTTTTCATCATTATCAAAAAAACGCATTTTCCGCAAAATTAGTAGAAAGCGATCTCTTGTCGTGAGGCGCCCAAAAATTGGAGTATTCATAAAAGATTTACTAGTCCAATAATCATTGACATTCAATTTTTTCGTCTGGGGCATCAACAGATTGATTGCTAAAAAGCATTTCATTTATATTAATTGATTTTCATCGTTGTAGACGTGAATTCGCATCAACTTGTTGTCTACTTTCCTGTTTATAGTATCGGTTTGTCTCAACTGCAATTTTCTTCATTATTTGGGGCGTAAAAAGGCTTCAAAAAATCTACAGCATGTGGCGTATCTGATAAACTGTCAATTTTACATCCAGAATTAGTATTATCAAAAAGGTGTATAACAGGTAAAAACATTTCATCTTTCCAAACAAATACCGTAGCTTCCATAGTTTTTGTTAACTGTTTGGCCGATGTGTTGTTCAATTCATCTCCAGTTTCATTTTCTGCATCATCTTCAGCAACATTTTGTGATTTTGCGAATGTGAATGAAAGAAATGCTTATATAAAATCAACACAAACACAAAAATATACAACAGACGTTTTGAGATCAACGTGCTGTACAAAAAGCCTAATAAAAATATATTTAGTTTACCTTCTGCATCTTCTTCGTCGCTTTTTGGCCATCCATCGTCACTCATAATAGTTCATAAAATCATCTTCAAAATCACTTTCTTCTAACATACGCGCGAGATCTGCATCAGTAAGATACTTCCGACTCATTTACGTGACGGGTAAAACAATACTGATTCGAGTTCAAATTGCAACCAAGCAAATATTTTGTATACTACCTTATGTGAGTTAACTCGTCTAGAGCAGTCTGAACGTATGTACTGTCGGTGTGCGCGGACAGAGACGGAACGCAAGATTCGACTTGTCTATGAGCAGGTGACGTCATATATCGAATAACAAAGCTCTACTGCATATTGAAACAGTTCTTATGATTTACATGAGTTTACTCGTCAAGAGCAGTCAGCCTATAAAGCGAGTATACTCGTCAAGAGCAGTGAAAGGGTTAAAAATAAAGATTATGGAGTATGGAAGACATGCGTGAAGCAACCAATATATATATATATATATATATATATATATATTATATATATTATATATATATATATATATATATATATATATATAAGGATCACTCAGACGAGTGGTGGGTTCTTATATCGGTCTCTAGGTGGAGAAATAAAAGACAAAGTTGATAGGCTACTTTATCTATTTTGAAGACGTTTCGCTTTCGAGTTTTGAAAGCATCATCAGTTCATCTAAAAAATTATTACAATATGAGAACCACACAATCATGGAAACGATGTTAATTGTTACCTTAAAAAGATATGTAGCATTGTCAATGCTACATATCTTTTTAAGGTAACAATTAACATCGTTTCCATGATTGTGTGGTTCTCATATTGTAATAATTTTTTAGATGAACTGATGATGCTTTCAAAACTCGAAAGCGAAACGTCTTCAAAATAGATAAAGTAGCCTATCAACTTTGTCTTTTATTTCTCCACCTAGAGACCGATATAAGAACCCACCACTCGTCTGAGTGATCCTTATATATATATTGGATTGACGGTCGTACTCCTTTTTTCCGATATATATATATATATATTATATATTATATATATATATATATATATATATATAACTTTATGTTTAAAAACTGGCACATTTGAACTTAAAAGTTCATACGGACCATAACGTTTTTTTATAATTACCTAAAATATTGCCATTTTTTTTCAAAAGTGTTTTCCACACTGTATAAACTTAACAACGTAAAAATCAAGATTTATCACACAAATAACTTCTTGGTTCTTTAACCAGTTAATCTAATTATAAGCAAAGAACACATACCTGCATTAATACTGGTTCTAGTGACATCAATCTGCCTTCAGTTCGTTGATAAACAATGGAACATTGAAGCAAGAGAATTTTAGGATTTTCTATGTCGATCAACATATCTTTGTGTGCAACGTTTTTGCTGCATACTACCCCTCCAACTAGAGACGTATCACTTCTCAAACCGCCAGCAAGAATTTTAAATTGGATGTAGTGACGGATGTCTAAGTCGATGGCATCATGATTTTTATCTAAAAAATATTACTTTTTTGTTGCTTCTATGAAATTGCAAAGTTGTGATTGCATTTAATTTGTAACGTGTACAAAATTTTCGTTTATTTTATTAAGTTTTATAAAAATATGCAGTATATAAGTTTTTTTAATTTTTTGTAAAAAGTTCTCCAGAAATAATTTTTGGCCGTGTTAATAAAATTCACGTTATACAACCCAGAAAATTTCATCTACCCAGAGTAATCCCTTTTACCGAAGAGCCGCTAAAAATGCCTCTACTGTCTGTTTATTTTATATTATTCAGGCCAAGTGCCCATCCAGCCAGCAGCAAAGGTGTAATAACGTTCACTTAATATCCTAATCTAACTAAACAAAATACACTACAATTCTGGAAATTAAAAGAGAGAGGGAGAGGAGAAGAAGAGAAAGGGAGAGGAACTAGGATTACTTGTCGCACCTAGGGGTCATTCAAGGTGACTCACAGTTGCAAGGGTTCTAATATTTTCAGTCAAATTCCGAAACGGTACTTTGCCCAAATAATTTATAACAGTCACACCCTCTCAATGCTATTTTATTTTCCGTTGTGAAAAAAGTATGTTTTGAGGCTCCTGTCAACGAGATCTTTTTTTGTATCTTTTGACTCTTGTATCTTTTGCTTGTTCGAGAAATAAGAGACCTTAAATTGGCATTGCGGATACGCCTACTTCGCTGCTACGTGTTTTCGGTCTTACTTTAAAGTGTAGAGTCTTGGACTGTGAATAAAAGTGATCTAAATTGCCTTGAGGCTTTCGAAATGTGATGCTATAGAAGAATTTTAAAAGTTTCTTGGGTGGGGAAGATGCGAAACTCCACAATACTAGAACGTCTCAGCAAGACTACTGGGAATATAAAAAGCATCAAGAAGAGAAAGCTGGAGTACTTCGGACATGTAATGAAAGGTCCCAAATATAGGTTGCTACAAAATATTATGCAAAAGAGAATTGCAAGCAAACGCAGTCCAGGGCGAAGAAAGATTTCATAATTGAAGAACCCGCGAGATTGGCATAGTGTTGATACAAGCATGCTATCTAGGGTGGCAGTAAGTAAAATAATTAAGATAGCTATGTTGGTAAACGACGTTCTGAAAGGACATGGTGCATTAAGAAAAAGGTACCTACCTGGAGACCTTTTAACGGCTGGCGAGATGACGAGGACTAAAAAGAAACATTCAGAAATGATATTTATAACATGAATCTTGGAAAAACACTGACCACATCTAGAATTTGAAGAACCTATTCTTCCGTATGCACCAATTAATGACCTTCAAACTACCCATCTAATACATAATTTAATATGAAAATCAAAAGAGTTCTTCTTCCATGCGATAGAAAATAATAATACTATTAATAACAAGAAGTGTAGCCCTATGGTTTAGTTAATGTTGATATACTTTTAAATATTATTTTCGTAAAATAAACATACAGTTATTCAGTAACTTATGAATTCTAAATTTTACATAAATATAATAAAAAATATTTACCGGGTCTAATAATACTGATTATGTCGTTAAGTATTGGCATAATAACTTCCGACCAGGAATATGAAAGTCCTTTGGAAATCAACAATTGCTTAAGTAAACTATTGCTGTGTTGCTCAAAAGCATCACTTAAGATTGTATATGCTAACTTTTCTCCGTTTTCCTCCCGCAAATTGGATGCATTAAACCATCCTAAAAAGAGAAAATTATTTTATAAATACAAATGTTTATTCTGATATGGACTATAATGTTATGAACTATTTTCTACAAATTCTTTACATATTATAATTATAAAATCCACAAGGAAAAGTTAATTTTCACATCAAAAGGGGTTTAACCATGTATTTAATGGATTTAAAGATGTATACGTTTGTAGCAGCACTGAAGATGGAATATTGATTCCGAAATAATTCTTTTATAAAAGATTGTTTACTAAATAATTATAAAAGGTTATAATACCAGAATATAAGAGATTCTTCATCTTATTGTTACAATAAATATGACTCATACATAAACTGTAAACGTATTTTTCTAACAAGTATTTTTAGTAGGGTCCCCTCCGATAAAACCTGTCTGGGTTCCATGGCGTTCGAGAACGTTCAGCAAGGGTCACCGGCCGAATTCTAGGGAACTCCAGAATAACGGTTACTAAATTATATATATATATATATATATATATATATATATATATATATATATATATATATAGAGGAAATTTTTACTGTAAACAGTATATAAATTAGAATAGTGTAAAATAAATTAAGTGTTAGAACATTATTTTATGATAAAGTTAATAAATTAGATTTATAAAAATAGTTTCATTATCCTTAAAATCATTTCAGATGTCAGATTGCCGGTATAGCCATTTTTATATTTTTTTATCATTAGGCTTACTTTCATTTCTGCCTTAACTCAAAATATCTATTGTTGGAAGAAGTTATGACAGACTATAGTCGGACAATTTTCAATTAAAGGTGACTAATCTACAAATTGAATTAAATGGTAGCGGCAACCGTGTAAAATGTCAGTAGTAAATTCTTATAGGGGTCATTTTTATTGTGTATGCTTCGACCATGTAAATAAGCGAAAAAGTAAGATAGTACCATAACATTTTCCCCCGTAAAAGTATAAATTGATGCGATTCACGAGTGTATAGTGAGACAAGTTTATTGAATAGTTAAACATCCGCAAACTTATCAATATTTTGCAGGTCTATATATCTTTACGTTCTTAGAAAGAATGGTAATGAGTGAAATATAATATTTTAGTTTATTCGTTCCAAATTCTTATGTGCATAGGCGTAGTGTGTTCTATTTCTTGGGAATACATTTATTAAATATACTTTATTATTAACTTTTAAATAGTTTTGAGGTAAGTAAAGTAAATTTGCGGCAAGTTTATTCTTTATATGGTATTAACCCATTAACGGCCAGTCAATATACAAAGAGAAATTTGACAAGGGTAATGTGGTCGAATCTGGTTTCATCTGGTAAAGCAAATTTAGATTGACATACATGTACTAAGTTTGACACTGATGTAGCGACTATTGACTATTATAAATATAAATCTATGTAGGCTCACGCTTTCTCTTATAATGTGCAATTCTTTATCCTCATCCTTTGACCAATGCATATCAACTTGAAGCAGAGTGTGAACCAGATATACATATGCTAATAATTTTTTTTAAATCTACGTTATTAATTTCAAAATCCTGACGGTTATTCTACGATCCATAAATATTTGTAAAATATAGAATGCTCTCAATTACGTTTTTATCAAAAAAGACTGATGTTGAATTACTACTGAGCACAAAGCAGCACGAAGAAGTATCTGTTGTTACAACTTGAGACAAATTTGGATTTACTATTTTTGTCTGGTTTTTTCTTTGGACGTTTTAGTTAGTCCCATCTTTATTTCATATTTCGAGAATTTACTAAAATAAACAAATGTACTACTATATACAGGCATTCACATGATAATAGTTTAGCTTAATTCATTTTAATTTACATGAACTTCATAATATATTTTTATATTTATATAAACAAATAAACGCAAGGAAACTTTCAAATTAAGTTAAAAAAAAACAAAAAAAAAATTTACAGCACACAGCAATTCTATAGAGAGAATTATGTGTAATTACGAGATCCTATGTTCAAATTTTAGATTGTTTAGTCTAATGAAAAAATAAGTATTTTCCAAAGTTTTCTGTTTTTTGAGGTTCTGTATTAAGTACTCTCTAATAAGAATAAAATTTTACATTAATTTGTTAGACAACTATAAGATACCTGTCAAAAGACACATGATAATTTAATAATTATATTGGTCTGAGATTTAATTTTTATGTACTTTCTTATATGTTTAAATAAATAATTAAATCAATTAAATTCAAGTTAAAACAAAACAAATATAACGTTCATCGCAAACAGCAATTCTATAAATAGAGAATGAAGTGTAACGACGACATCGGATGTTAAAATTTCAGATTGTTTAGTCTAATGAAAAAATAAATATTTTACAAAGATTTCTGTTTTTTGAAGTGCTGTTTTAGCTACTCTATAATAAAAATAAAATTTTACTTTATTTTGTTAGACAACTATTCGCTTCGTGCTTGACTGACAATACACCTATTGCCTTATCTGAGAGTTTTGGATCTCCCAATTTGAGGTTAAACATATGTTAAATACATACTAAATTGGCAATTATTAATAATTAGTTTTGTAATTATAGTTTTTCAGTTTATATACAACATAAATGTAGTATTTAAAACTTGGTTTCTAAAAATTCATCATAATTTATGTTTGTAACCCCAAACGGAAAGAAAGGGAAAAATCTAGTACTGGCAAATCAAGATTTTCATGTGAAAGAGCATTTAGTTAAAAACAATAATAATAAAAGTTATGATATAAAAGCTAAAGCTAAATTATTTAAATTTTTCCTATTTCAATTGCATAAAAATGAAATTATGTGATATTTACTTTTTTATATTATTAGCACGAATCAATTTTTTTCTTTTTTCTAATTTATATGCAATCTTTGGAAACCTATAAAAACTACACTCACTATTTTCGCTATTATTAGCCCAATTAAATAGATAAAATTTATGCGTGGAAGATAGGTCCAATTTTGTCATATTTCGCCGCTACGCACGCTGGCATCGTTTCAAGGCATCGTTTCTACCATGGTTACGCACGAAACCAATAAGATACCTGTTAAAAGACACATGATAATTTAATAATTATATCGGTCTTAGATTTAATTAATTACTTAAGCGTTTAAATAAATAATTAAAATTTTTTTTGGTACGCCTCTGCAAAATTGATAAGTGGAATATGATTTCGTTTAAAAGTTGCCGTTAAGGGCTTCGTTAAAGTGCGATGTTGAAAAGTAATCTTCAATTAAAAATTGTTTTGGTATAAACTTAGATGGTACTATATACATGCGATGTCTACAAATAATGGCATATGCTGAGAATTAAAAAAATATTGATAAAAAATTCGTTTTATTCAATTCAGGAATATTTACAACATAGTTTAATTTTTATTGAGGTTTTGTAAATATTTGACGTATGTAATATTTTATATTTTTAACATTAATAAACAGTATTGAGCAACATTATTAGGGATAGGGTCTAAAAAAAATTATTAGAGATTGGGGTCACTTCACAGCCACTGCACTTTAACAAAAAATTGAATTGTTAATATAAAAGCGACAAGTAGTCTATATAAAATATGTTAGTGGAATTATATTTACCTGACATCATTTTATCGTATGTGATAAAATGAAATTAGTTACTAGAGATTAATGAATATAAATTTTTTATACGATATTGACATTGTGTTATTTCATGAGTCATGAAGACATATACAAGTACTCGCCGACACTGAACTTTTGGAAAAATATCCAGTTCATTGATATTACTTCACAATTCAAAATAAGCTCGAATTTAGTATTTTAAACTTTGTGAAATTAAGATATATATTGATAATATAAGCAGAAAAGTATAAATTCAAAGCACTTTCAACAATAACTACTTGATATTTAACAGCTGATATACATTCCATTGCTATTAAACATTTTAATTAATAAAAATATTATTAATTTTTAGTACTTGTCATAAATTATAACTGTTTATAAATAAAACATTGACTAAAAAGTTAAAATGAGATGATACGAGGTATGGCAGTAAAATAATACTGTAAATGGTGCACTATCTCCCTTAGAATACAGGGTAACACAAAGTAGTAGGTTACAAATTAAACGACGCACTCTTGCTCCAAAAAGCTGGGTCTGTGTGCATCCATATTGCGAAAATAAGCGAGCGGTTTACCCCTATAAGCGGAGCATAAATCGACTATTTTTTGCATTTATAATGCATCAAACCTTTTTATCCGATTCTATATATTTTGTAAAGTTCAAGTATATTTTTTTTATTTTTCCAAGTGGGTCGGCAATTATTATTAACAAATAACTTATAGAAACAACAATTTTACCGAATCGCTTCGGAATCAATTTCTTTGCGCGTATCTCTTGCAATAAACCCCTTTTCCTCCTTTGGAATTTTTAGAAAAATGCATACTTTTCGAGTTATTTGCAATATTTTGTTGAAAACATGCCTTAACCCATCAAAGCCTTGTGTGATCACTTGGTTACGAAAACACGCCATCATTCAATATTAATTGTAGCTCAGGTTAACGCTAGAAATCTATCCGCAGTTTAACTTTTCGTTACTAGATGTCAGTGTATTCAATTTGTTACAGTGTTACATTCCACAGTTTGGAGCGAAAGAATAAAATATTTGAGTAAGTAGTTTTATTAGTTTACTATTAAGACTTTCAGGCAATTTAAATAATTATTGATATAGTTAAGTGTCTGGATTGGGGATTTGTTATTGTAAATGAGCAAGAAATAAGAAAAGAATGGCAGCTGTATATATCACAGTTGTTTGAAGATGACAGGAATAATATTGCCGAATTCTACCAAAACTGTATTGACGGCCCAGAATTTATGAAATGCGAAGTAGAACATGCTATAAATAATGCTAAAATTAGACAAGCTTGTGGTCCAGATGATACACCAACTGAGTTGCTGAGACTGATAGATAATGATAACATAAAAGTAGTAGTAAGACTTTTTAATTCAATATATAACACCGGAGTGATTCCCGCAGATTGGCTCAAATCCATCTTTAGCGC